ATTAATTTCGATTCTCATAAAAAAATTAAAATTTTAACTTTAAAAATACTATTCTTTAATTAATATTTCTAAAAATTAACTATTATATTTAATATTTTAGTGATATAAATCATATATGTTAATTTTTAAGTTAATTCAATATTTATAATTATTTAGTCAAAAAATTATATTATATATATTTAAGAATAATACATTTTTTACAATTAATAAATTAGTTACATATATTTAATCAATTTAAAAATTAATATACATAATTTATATAAATAAAATATTAAATTTAATTATTTATTTTTAAAAATAATCATTGAAAAAAGATATTTTTAAAATCAAAACTTTAATTTTTTAAAAAACTAAAATTAACATATTCTATTCTCATTAATTAATAGCTTATTGTTTGGGCAGCTTCACAATCCAACACTGTTGAAGTCTTCGGCTGCTTCTACACCTGAAAATCCCGAGGTTTCCTCGGGGAAGACACTCCAACACTTAAGTCAGCAATACTCAATATTCTAGAGAGAGATGTTCTCAAGGAGTAATTGCAGAGAGAGAAGCGTAGAGATTAATTACCTTCTTCGGAGGTGGTTAGGGGGTATTTATAGCCCCAAGTGCTGACATGTATCTGCACATGTAAGCCTCTCATTGGCCAACGTGGTGCTGCCCACGTGGGTATGTCTCCTCCTCTTGGGCCTGTGGGTGCGTAGTTGGGCCTGCTGCATGTGGCCCTAAGAGGGCGTTGGGCCTACACTCCAACATTACTCCCCCCTCGGTGTTCGGTTGACGAACTGGTTTAGGAGTCTTGTTAGTACGGTGTTTGGCCCTGAGGATGAGGAGTGATACTTTGTGTTCCTGACCGGCCTCATGGACGGCCGAGCTGGGCAGCGTGAAACCAGGGTGGTCGCATGCCGACCTCCTGCAGAGCAGGCACGAGTAAACGGGTGGTTAGGTAAGGCGAGCTCGGCTGATCAGCGAGCTGAGCAGGTGCGCATGGACGATCTCGTCTGAACGAGCTAGCGTATAGTGAACGAGCTGAAGCAGCTAATCCGTACGGGTTGATATGGGTGACCTTAGTCATCACCGTAATATAAATATGTAGGGGTAGAGCTGATCTGACGTTTGATGTTCGAAACTAAGGTGAATCTTCGATTTGTTACGATCTGATCAAGTTCGAAATTTCTGGATAGATCGTGGGTTAGTGACGAGCAGATCTCTCGAACTTTTCAAATTTCGAATTAGGATAGATCTCTGAGGAAATTTGTAACGAGCTGGTCTCTCTGAAGATTTGGTACGAGCAGATCCTTTTTGAATTTTAGACCTGCAAAACCTCTAAAGAGATATGGTTCAGAGCGGTCGAAATCTCTGGAGAGATCATGAATCAGTTACGGGCAGATTTCTCGAACTTCTCAAATTTTTAATTAGGACAAATCTCAGAGGAAGTTTGTTACGAGCTGTGTACACCAGGGCGAAAGCAGCCTTCTCTGCTAATGGATAATTCCGTTCAGCGCCCTGTAAAACTTTGCTCACATAGCAGATGGGCTTCTGATTCTTATTCTCCTCCCTCAGTAGAACTGAACTCACTGCTTCTTCCGCGACCCCCAGATACAGATATAAACATTCCCCGTCGACAGGTTTGGACAGCATGGGTGCTGATGCCAAATATTGTTTGAGCTCGTCAAACGCCTGTTGACATTCATCGGTCCACTGGAAATTTTTAGGCTCTCTCAAAGCTTTAAAGAACGGGAGGCACCTTTCAGCCGACCTGGCTATAAACCTGTGCAATGCGGCTACACGACCTGTCAGGCGCTGTACATCTTTTATAGTCTTGGGTGACTCCATATGCTGAACGGCCTGGACCTTCTCTGGATTCACTTCAACTCCCTTCTTGGATACCACGTATCCTAGGAATTTCCCTGATTCCACAGCGAACGTGCATTTCAAAGGATTCAGCTTCATTTGGGCTCGGCGCAGGTTTTGAAAAGTTTCCTCCAGGTCGCCTATGTGATCCTCAGCTCGCACACTGGTGACTATCATGTCATCCACATATACCTATATGTTTCTGCCGATCTGGAGCTTAAAGACGATTTGCACCAGCTTCTGGTATGTTGCTCCGGCATTTTTGAGGCCGAACGGCATCATGACATAGCAGTAGATTGCGTCACCAGCGTAAAAAGCTGTCTTCTCCTGGTCGTTCAACAGCAGCTGAACCTGGTGATAGCCCGAGCTGGCGTCGAGAAAGCTCATCCGCTCATGCCCAGCTGCCCGCTCCACTAATTTTTCCACATTCGGCAGGGGGTGAGGGTCTTTTGGACATGCGTCATTGAGGTTGGTGAAGTCAATACACATCCTCCACTTGCCATTTGGCTTTTTGACGAGCACGGGGTTAGATACCCACTCAGAGTACTCCACTTTCCTGATGAAGCCCGCTTGTAGCAGCTTTTGTATCTCCTCGTCTATGGCAGCTTGTTTCTCTGGGCCAAAAAGGCGACGTTTCTGTATCACCGGCCTTCTGGTGGGGTCCGTGCTGAGTTTGTGGACTGTCAACTCTGCCGGGATGCCAGGCATTTCATTGGTAGTCCATGCGAACACATCTTGATTGACCCTCAAAAATTCCAGAAGCTCTGCTCGTTCTTCTTCTATGAGCTTGGTGCCGATCTTGACTGTTCTTTCCGGCACATCAGGGTTTAAAGGAACGGTTTCTACTGGCTCTACCGGCTCTGCTTTCTGCTCGACACCCTCGGGTCTATGCTCAATATCCGATATGCTCATTGTCTGCTGGCCGGGCTGAGCCGGCCTACTATTTTCAGAGTCTCTCGGGGCTACCGCAAGCTCAACCTTCTTAAATGTGTCTTGATAACACGCTCTGGCCATCTTCTGATTTCCTTTAAGCACTCCTACCCCCTGAGGAGTTGGGAATTTCATGCAAAGATGGGGTTGTGATATCACAGCCTTCAGCTCGCAAAGAGTGGCTCTTCCCAGTATAGCGTTGAAAGCTGACTCCATCTTGACGACCAGGAAGGTGACAGAAGCCATCCTGAACCTTGGTTCCGAGCCCACATAGATAGGAAGGGTAATTACTCCTTCAACCGGCACGGGCTGATTGTCAAACCCATATATAGGCCCTTCGTGCTTTTGCAGCGAGCTTGGGTTTAGCTGCATTTTCTGGAAGCAACTCCAGTATAGGATATCTGGCGAGCTACCCGTATCAATGAAGACCTTATTGACGTTATGGTTGCCTATATGAACCGTTGCCACAAAAGGATCCGCATGCGGCATCATAACGTCGGGCTCTCCATCTGCTCGTTTGTAATCTGTCGGGCTGAATGTAATGGGTGTGTTCTCCCACTCCGCCTCCTCGAATGGTCGCTTCAAGGGCCTGTTTTTTTTAACCGTCATCACCTGCCGGGCATATGCCTTCCGTGCCCGGGCACTTTGGCCCTCCGAGTGCATACCGCCGGAGATCATGTTGATTGTGCCAGACGGCGGGGGTATCGCACTGCACCCAATTCCTCTCCTGTCTTTTTGGTTTTGGGGGGCAGGTCCCTGACCTTGGCCTCGCCTGTTGAATTGGCGGCCCCTATACGCTCTGCCTTGCTCGGAAGGATATTGGCCATCTTGATACATGCCTTGTGTGTTGCCGAGCTGGTACCTCTGTACCTGAGGTCGGTTATACCCCTGCACGAAGTGATTTTGAGCCGGTTGCTGGGTATGAGGCTTCTGAACATATCCCTCTAATTTCCCAGTGCGAGCTAAGAACTCCAGCTCGTCCTTTAAATGTTGGCAGTCTTCTGTGTTGTGACCATATACACGATGGTAGTCGCAATGTTTGCTCTTGTCTGCTCGCGGGGAATCATGCACCGGGGGTGGGGGTCTTCTAACCCAGTGCTGGATCTGTGCTAGGATTTGAGACCTTGGCAAAGTGAGAGGGATATAGCTAGCATATTTTGGGAATTTAGCTGGCTTCCCCCATTGTTCATTAACCTTCTGCTTTTTCTTTTCCTCCCTCCTAGGTATCTATTCATTGCCTTTGCTCTGTTTGTCATTAGCTCGTCGCTTCGACGACTGAAAGTCCTCTGATAGTATGAAGCTAGCTGACCTGTCATTGACTTCGTTCCACGTTTTTGGTGGATTTTCCAGTAAGTCGTCTAGGAACCTGCCACGTTTCAGACCGTGCAGCAGGGCGGATAAGCAGATGGTATCAGGGATGTTATCGATATCTAATGTAGCTTTGTTAAATCGCTGCATGTAGTCCCTCAAAGATTCTCCCTCCTTTTGGTGAACTTGCATCAGCTCGGTCGCCGTGCGTTTAATCTCCCTTTGACTTGCAAATTTGTTGGAGAATAACTTGGCAAGCTGGGAATACGAATCTATGGAATGTCTGGGGAGTTTATGATACCATCTCCTAGCTGTTGACTTGAGTGTTGCTGGAAACACTTTGCACATCATGGCATCGTTGGCATTCTGGATTCTCATGATGGCTTGGTAGGTATGCAAATGTTCATCAGGATCACCCGAGCCGTCATACGTCTCCAGGTGGGGAATCTTAAATCCCTCTTGATATGGCTCTCCTGTGATGGATAGGTTTAAAGGGGCACTATCCAAATCGAGAGTCTGTTGGTGCGACCTGGGACTCTTCAGCTCGTCAATAGACCTTTGTACGTCCCTTAACTGCCTTTCCAGGTCTGCATTCTTTCTCATCAGTTCTTCACTATACTTGGACGAGCTGGGTTCGATATTCAGCTTCCCGCTTCCCCTCGGCCTGGTCGGCACCACTATGTTGCTTAGAGCGGGTGAGTTTCGGGTCGCTACAACCGCAGCTGGTTGTGCATCCCTGTTCAATAAAGGAATCAGGGGGTCGTCAGGTATTAGTCGGGCGAGGATTTTACCCATTGCCATTTCGAGAACTCTGGTTCTTTCCTCAAGTTCAGTTGTCTGAGCAGGTTCTGTTGACCTTTCAGGTCGTTCATGTTGTGTATTGTGTGGTCCCGAAGGTCTTTGTCTTGTTCCTGCTGGAACTTGGAACTGTTCAGGCTGGGTTGCATACCCAGTGGGTGTTCTTTCGTCATCTGTTTCACTGAGGTGATCCTGCTCGGCTCCCCCTACGAAGAGGTTTCTTGGCATTGGCCTAAAGTCATTCAAACCGGGCTCAGGCAGTTGAATGTCCTCTTGTTCGTCTACTTCATTTCTTGGGGGACGACCTCCTGTAAAAGTCCGAACCATTTTGTCTTTCAGAGGGTTAAGCTACACAACTTTTTGTTCAAGGTTTCCCACAGACGGCGCCAAATGTTTGGGCAGCTTCACAATCCAACACTGTTGAAGTCTTCGGCTGCTTTTACACCTGAAAATCCCGAGGTTGTTTCCTCGGGGAAGACACTCCAACGCTCAAGTCAGCAATACTCAATATTCTAGAGAGAGATGCTCTCAAGAAGTAATTGCAGAGAGAGAAGCGTAGAGATTAATTACCTTTTTCGGAGGTGGTTGGGGGTATTTATAGCCCCAAGTGCTGACATGTATCTGCACATGTAAGCCTCTCATTGGTCCACGTGGTACTGCCCACGTGGGTATGTCTCCTCTTCTTGGGCCTGTGGGTGCGTAGTTGGGCCTGCTGCATGTGGCCCTAAGAGGGCGTTGGGCCTACACTCCAACACTTATAAACTTCTGAATTTTTGTAATTGAATCACTAGTAAAATTTAACCATTTTAATTATCTATTCTAATATTCAAGCCTCACAATTTATAATATCATTGTATCGTAGCGGATGGTTAACATTAAAATTGATTTGTGGGTGTATGATATCACCTCTCACCATCATAAATTTCTCTAATAGAAAAATGGGGATCCACATTAGGGTGGTTACTGTTTAGTTTTGGTTGTCGTTAAAATTAGTTATTGATTAATTAAAGTTTTAAATTTTAGATTTTAATA